CTTGTAATTGGTTTCTTTAAGTTTCCTACTTCTGCTTCGGTTTTGGGTGATTGTATAAATCTAAAAATTTGTCCATCTCATAGATGGTTGAACTTGTTTGCATATAGATGTCTAATTAGCAGTCTCTAATTATGCCCTGCATTTCTGCTATGTCTGTTTTAATTTCTCCTCTTTCATTTATGATCCTATTTGAGTTTTCTCCCTCTTTAAAAATAAACCTCTTTTAAATTATATGGCGTAGACTTTCCTTTTCCGTGGTGTAGTAAATAAAGTTCATGCACATGCTTCAGAATCAGTGTTTCTATAAGTATATAGTTTCCTAGTGAAATCATTTTCTGTCTGGCATGATTTTACTACTATTTAGTCTGTTTTCTTAAACAACCCCAACACATGGAGTTTGAGTTATGCAAGATTTTCAAAGGTTGATATATAGTCATTTTCTAAAGGATTAAAAATCGAGGTATAGGGGGGCCTTCCTTGTGGTTAAGACGCAGCACGATGAAGCAATCTGCAGCCACTGTAGCATGAGTTCGAGCCCCAGCCAGGGAGGTAACCCACATGACACAGCAGACCTCTCCTGACTCGCCCGCTGCCCCCCTCAGCAGTCTATTTCTGTCAATCTGCCTGTTCTGTTCCCCACTCCATCTCTGGTGAATCCTCTCACCCCCCCAATCTCTGGCCTATACCCCAGTTCTTATATGCATAAATGAATAAGTCTTTAAAAAAAATAAAAATAGTGGGCCTCCCCTGGTGGCGCAGCATTTGAGTGCTGGGCTGCGAGGCTGCCCGCAGCCTCTGCAGCACCGGTTCGTTCCCCGGCTGCCGGGGAGGGTCCCACAAAAATAAATAAATAAGTAAATAAAAAAATAGAGGTGTAGGGGAGGAAAGAAGAGGGAAGAATAACTAAGAGGACCCATTCTTGACCCTTACTTCTTTGCTTTATTTTCCTTTACTCCATAGAATTTTCCAATAAATTAAACTCTGGGGCACTGAAGACTGTTGTCAAATAAAATACAGTTATTAAGAGCCACCTGCTGGATCCGTTTGAAACACATATTAGGCTTTATATTTATAGATGCCAGTAAAATGACAGTGTGAACAATTCCCAAGTGCCTATTTGTCTAATACCAAAGAATCCTACATCTTGGCTAATGTCAATCATTTATCAGTGATTTTCCTAGTAGCTACTAAGAAAATGTTGTGTCTACAAGTTATTTGAGTTAATAGTCCTTTTTTGGTGCTGAGTCTATAATGAAAGAAGTTAAGGAAAGCAATCCCTTATAGACAAGGGCAGAATTGCTACTGCCTTTCAGCCAAAATTATGAGGGAATGTCTCATATTTTTGCCTATCTTTTATGCCTTTTGAACCAAATATATGTAAGCCAGAGTATTTTTAAGACGTAAAATGACACTTTCTTTGCCATTTCAATATATTTTTTATGTTTTTGAAATGATAATTCCTTTTAATATTAGATAAGAAAGTTAGTAACATCAATATAGTAAGTATTTCTCGAGAACTTGGGCACTGGACTAAGTATTATGAATAATACAGAGAAAAGAAAGTTCAGGCCTTGCTTTACAAAGCTAACAGGAAAATTATGTTTAAGATAGTGATGTAGAAAAGCAAATCTTAAATTATTAGCTGTTGAATTGGGTAGTACAGATTAGAAGTGACTGAGTATTCAGAGAAACGGGAAATCCATGAAGGCTTGAACATTTAAGGGATTATGGCAGAAGTTGGAACTTGATTTGAACCTTGAAGGCTGCATAGGATTTAAATAAGGAAGAGAAACCAAGCGGTTCCACATGAGCAAAGGCAAAGGCTAACATGGCAGTGACATGGAAAGGAAGGAGTAGCTATAAGAGTGATTTCAAAGGAACAAATAAGAGGACTTAGGGACACCTGAATATAAGCAAGGTGCAAAAAATAGAGAGGAAAGATGCAAAAAAATGATGCCACCATTTACCATTTACAGAGATGAGAAATTTAAAAAGGGAGAACCATTTTCCAATAAAAGAGCATTTAGTTTTAGACATATTTCACTTGAAGTAGTACTATTTTGTAGCAAGGTTATCCAAATGAGAAATTTCAGTGTACAATTAGAGATGAGGAGCTAGAGCATATTGGAAAATATGCAGATATTGATATAAAGCGACTTTGATATAAAGATTATCAATGCTAAATAAGCATTGATGAATTATTATTATTCCCTTAGAAAGAGAAGCAGATGACTGAAAGCTAGATTTTGGGGAAAAGCAAGTGTGTTGGGAAGAGTGAAGTAATGGGAGACTGTTAGGAAGGGATTCATCAACAGAATCACAGGCTACAAAATCGAGAGGGAAAGTTCTGAAAAGAGGACATTGAATTTGTCAAGAAACAAGACAAGATGAAGTTGTGTTTCCGAATGGATTTAATGAATAGATTATTTTCCGTTAAAGTGACAGCACCAACAGTCAAATTTCAAAAGATTGAGGAGGTGATATTAAATAAAATGCAAACAGTGGAAAGGAAAGTTCATTTGTCTGGTGATAGATTCAGAGAGAGAATAGCAAAGCTAAGAATTTTTTAAATAATAGAAATAGTCCATATATGTTGAGGAATACATCTGTCTATACCCTCTATTTATTTCATATATGGAAGAGGTTGAGAACTAGGAAAAGCTATAATGGTAACAGTCGCTAATAGAAGTAGGAATCAGTCATTGGCATTGCATCTAAAAGGCATTTAGACAATAATGGAAATAGAGTTCTACTTTAAAGTCATTTCTACTTCCTAAAAATGAAACCTGTATATTTATTTTACACAGTAAGAATTTACTGTGGAATAATTAATTAAATCACATCTTTTTGACTAGCTATAAAGTCACGATCTAACAAAACGATTTAAGTGAAATGTTCTTGCTCAATTAAGTATTTGTCATGTTATTATTGAGTGCCGAAGTAGCCCATAACTGCAAATATATATTTAATACAAGAGTGTCAGCTTCTCAGTCAACACATGAAAGCTGTCATAGAAATGCCTACAGCTGTGTTCCATCTGTTTTTTAAGTTTGACTCTACTCCCATATTTGTATATGGATTTAAAGGGAATATTTACTATGAGGATATTAATGTTCTCATTACATGTGATATTGACATCTGAAGAAGAGAAGTAATGAAGTATTTTTTAAATAAAGCTAAGGTCTTTTTATAACTACTAATTAATTTTCCCAACTATTTCAAAATAGAGAATTTCTTGTTTTAAGATACACTTTAAGTATACATCATATAAGTCTTTGTGTTTAAAACTAGTTTATGTCCTTGAAAAGAAGCTATTATCATAAAAGATAGAAGGAGAATATAATATTCCCAAATATCAGGACATTCCTAAATTAACATGATACTCCCAATTTAATATGATATTCCTGAATTAACAGGACATTGGATTCTTAACATATCTTTAAAGTGACCATAAGACCAGAGTGCCATAAACCAGTTGAATTCAACAGTACAGTAACTTATTATTCAACAAACTTCGAAACACCTACTAAATAACATTATGCAGCTAAAGAAGATAACAATAAATAAGCCATAGTTTCTTTCTCAAAGAGCTTAGTGTAGGACAGAAAGAACCTAAGAGATCAGAAAGTGAATTTTGGTTCTCCTAACTAGACATATGACTTTGGTCAAGTAATCCAGTTAATTTGGGGGGAAAAATTTCTGGATGTCAAGTTCCATGACTGTAAAACAGAGATAACAGTGCCTCTTTTACGGGGTAGTAGAGTTTAAAAGTAAAATATTTATCTAGCACAGTGTCTAGCCAATGGTAAGTAGATAGTTCCTGGTAACTGTTCCTGCTTACCCCCATACCTTATAAGAATTCTCAGTAAAAATGTTAGTCTTTTCCTTTTTGCATATGACCCACAATACACTAACATAAAACTGTCATCACTATGATGTGATATCATCTAACATACAGGAAGTGACCCTGCTGAAATCAACTAGTAGGTGAATGAAAGGCTTATAAAATTCTGTTTGACTTCTTAGTACTTCTTAGATTTCAAGGAGCACACTTGAGGAGAGGCAGAGATCTCAAGGCTGGGATCTGTTTTTTTCAAAATTGGTGGAGAGTGTGTGTGTATGTGTGCGCGCGCGCACGAGTGTGTGTGTGTGAGATATATGTATATGTCATTCATAAGGATCAGCCTTTGAATATTTGGAATTGTAACTGACCATAAATTCTCAACTATAGTTCCAAAGGCTTTATGGATTTTTATTAGGAAATTTTGCATAGATACACAAAAGTAGAAACAGTTGTATAATCCACACCCACATACTACCCATCAGCCAGTTTCAACAGTTATCAGCTGTCAACTATTAACAGAAACATTTTTTTTTCTAAATATGAAGGAGAGTTGTATTTTTTTTAAAGATTTATTTATTTGTTTGTTTATACATACATACATACAAGCACTGGGTACAGTCAGAAGCGCGGGAGGGTGAGAGAATTCACCAGAGCCAGAGCGGGGAGCAGAGCAGGCAGAAGGACCAAAGTACACTGCTGAGGGGAGCAGCGGGTGGCAGGAGAGGTCTGCACGCCATGTGGGACCCTCCTCCGGTGGCCGGGGAGCAGCCAGGGATCGAACCGGTGCTGCAGAGGCTGCGGGCAGCTTCGCAACCCAGCGCTCAACCGCTGCGCCACCAGGGAGGCCCGTTAACAGAAACATTTTGGCCAAAATCATGATATTTCTAGCTCTAATGTCAGTGTTTCTTGTCCTTTAATCCCATGTCACGGATCTAGTTAGAATCCCACTTTAACATTTGCTCCTTAAGCTTCATTTACTATTAGTTTGCATTAATCATCAGAGTTATTTTCTATAAATGTCATAAAATTATTTTTAGGACTTGTTCTTAAATCACAGCACTTAAAGAAAAATGCATGACTTTGTAACTTTTTTTTTAAGAGGGAAAGAGTTAAATATGCTGGGTAGAATATATTTTGTTCTATCTTTGTTTTTAAGGTTTGGCTTGAGCAACAAGTTTGATACTGAATTTCCCTCAGTTCTAACAGGGAAGGTAAGTGAGAGTTTGCTTTGAACCTTTCAATTCTAAAAGCATTGTTTTATGGCTTATTCAATGTTATGACAAATGATTTGACACACTGGTAATGAAGTCTAATTATAAGAGGTCAGGATACTTGGAGGCCATGTAGCTTTCATGACTGAAAGCTGTCTCCGTGGCTACTAGCCTATAACCAGTTATTTTGTTCACTGTCCATTAATGCCAGCCATTATTTACTTATCTATTTCAGCTTTTCCAGTTTTGCTTTTTTTCTCAGCACAGGTAGCTATATTTTTTCATTTAGGTCAGTAATTTCCATTGTTTTTGGAGTAATCATTATTTAACTTTGTTTCTGTTATTTTTAAGATGCCCTGTGGTATGATTTGTTATACATTAAAAGAATCATATTTTTGCTTAGACATTTTTCTGCCTTTTAGATAACTTGAGTTTCTAAAATTAGACTCACTGAAATAAATTATTTTCTTTCTATTCCCTGCTTTGTCTACTGTAGAGTGTCTTCTACCATTGAGGCTCAATATTAAAGGACTTCATCATATTCAGAACTATGTTTGGAAAATCCTCTTTACAACAGTAATGTTAATGTCCAGATCCAACTTTTGACTAAGCCAAAAGTTATTTACATATATTTGTCACTTGAGGAAATGTAGAAGAAAAAGTCATTATGTTACAAAATACTGAATAATACCCAAGTGGTTGATAGCTATATGTTTGAACTTTTTATATTTTGAAATCTGTAATTTAATCTCATTGTTTAATTTTAGTACTAGAATAATGCTATATGTCAGTATAGATTATGGTGATATTTTAAAAGCATTCCATTTGCTGAAGGACTTTTATGATTTTTTGGTGTTAATTTTCTCATATTGTTATTAAGAAAAGCAAAGTGCAAGTCACTGTGTATAGCATGTGTAAGACAGGGGAGAAATAAGCATGTTAACAATTGTATTAAGAAATTCTAGAGGGATACACATGAAACAGATAAAAGTGATTGCCTTTGCGAGAAGAGGAATGAGGGGTGGAAGCAACAGTTAAGATGAAGTCATTTTCTAAATTTCAATGTTTTGAATTTTGAAATATGTGTCTATATTACCTATTCAAACCTTAATTTATTTATAATTTTCCGTTCATTCTAAACTCTTTGAGAATGGGCTAAACTATTCCCACTAATATTGACTCCTTTTTGTCATGATATATTTTCTAGCTGCTACTCTCCTCACTTTTGGCCTAGTCCCAAACTTCTCCCCAGCCTCATTAAGGGGAGGCTTTTTTTTTGAAGGATTATCACAGAGATCATAAGAAATTCTATTTACTTGAACCCAGAAAGGTATTTCATACTTTTTCTGCTTCATTTTTCCCCCTGAGAAATGAGAGCTAGCAGGAGACAGTATAAACTAGCTTTTGAAGTCAAATCTGGATTAGAATCCTCTGTCACTTTACTGACTTTGTGGCCTTGGGCAAAACACTTTGCTGAGCTTTAGTTCTTATGTGAAAAATAAACAGGACGATGATAATACCTTGCTTCTTATAAAGATTGAATGAGAGCATATATAAAGCTCCTAGTATGTAGGTACATATACTGTCTCTGTGTTTATGGCTGCTGTTGACCATTCTTCACCAGTATATTCCAGTTGCAACCCTGTTGTTTTTCCAATTTGGCCTGCTCACCAGCTTTCAATTTTGAATTGCTTTTGCTGCTTTTACATTCTTTTTCTGAGTAGCAGTATTCTCTGGTCCCACCAATAATGTGTCATATTGACTGTTGACCTTTTCTAGCTCTCCTGAGGCATAATGTCAAGTCATTCCATACAGTAAGTAGGTAGTTGCAAATAGTCCCCAGCTAAGTTAACATTTAAAACCATGTGGCCACTTAATGTTCTACCTTCCTGTCCTGATCACCAGAATAATTCACAATTGAAATAGCAGAAAATTAATTAAAGAGAATGGGAATTGAAACATCTCCAGTGGAAAACTTGTTCTTTATATTTCCCTTGATAATTCTGTATGTGACGTCTGGGCAGTTACATCCAGCTTTATTCTTGGGTTTAGTTAAAAATTTGAATTACAAGTCCAAGAAATCCTAGAATATGAATAATCAAAAAATATGTCAGAAACAGAGTTTGGAGGCATATGAATTACACTTCTTTGAAATTTCACCAGCTTTATGTGCTCCAAGAATCTCCAGAATATCTCTTCATACCTCTTCTTTTCTTTCCATGCCTTCTAAAACTAAAAACTCCACCAACCCAAAAGATAGTACTGTTTTTTACATTAGAGGAGTTTAAGGATGTTAAGTTCCTTTTGATATGCATCCACCCATATTATCTGAACATGAGTTGTTCTTAAAGATGCCCATTCTTTTCAGGTGGCAGTTTTTGTTTTCTTTTTTAAAGATTTATTTATTTATACAAGAACCAGGGAACAGGCCAGATGCGTGGGAGGGTGAGAGGATTCACCAGAGACAGAGCAGGGAACAGAACAGGCAGACTGATGAAATACACTGCTGAGGGGAGCAGCGGGCGCAGCACAAGAGGTCTGCCGTGCCATGTGGGATTCTTGCTGGCCAGCCGGGATTGAACCCGTGCTGCAGAAGCTGCGGACAGCTTCACGGTGCGCCACTCAACTGCCTGCGCCACCAGGGAGACCCCGTGGCCATTTTTTTTCTGTAGCATGTATCATAAATGATTGGATATTTATTCTAGTTTACATTATTTAAAGTATGCAAAATTTCTCTTGTGTTAGATAAGATGATGATGTGATCTTTTTCTTTAGCGTTTGGTGATGAAGAACATTAAAGGGAATTCTAGAAGTCTGATGTTTTCAAGTTATAGGGTGATAGCATTAGTTTTATTCATTTTCTCTTTAATGAGATCATTTTTCTTTGGTGGACAGTGTCTACTAGACATTGTTTTATGTGTATAAGTTATTTTATATTATCAAGGTGTTTCTGTGATAATTGGAGGATAGAAGCAAAAAGAAGCAAAAAAATCTAAAAAAAACTAAGACAGTAGCTAAAATAGAAAAATAAATCAGTCTTCTGGTTTGAATGGGATTCTAAATGGCTTTTATATATAAACTAAGCAAAAATCACACCAAGTAAATTCTAAAAGCCAAAGCCATTTTGACAAACTATGGCTCAATACTAATTTTTGGCTTCTTATGTGTTAGTGCTTTCAATGCAGATGAAAAGATAATCTTTTATATTAAGTGCAGCAAATGTTGTTTTCCCATTTCAGAGGACCTAAAGATAAGTCCTCTTGCCAGCATATGGAGCAGGTGTATACACACACATTCTAGTGACCAGGAAATGAAAGAACCAGAGAACTTTGGAAAAGACGTCAAAGCTTCTTTCTGTCCCTCAGCTTGAAACAATTAAGTGGTATTATGGGGAAATTAGTGTGCAGTGTTGGGGATCCTAAGCCATAAAATCGACCTTTATTATTGTGATTCAGTCTGGCAAGTGATTGATAGGGTTGTGTTCCCCATGACTGAAGGAGCTAAGTCAGTCCTGCTGGGTTTTGCTTACATTTTCTTCTGTTGCAGAGCTCCTTACTTCCTGTTATAAAATATTATGACCCTTTCTCCTGCCTTTGTGATGTTTTTTTTTTCTTTCCAAGAAAGTCAAAAGGCATTAAATGTTTCTTTACAACCTGCTGTATGGCTAGAACGCAAAGGGCCTCCCTCTAACCTTCATCAGTAGAGATACTTAATTATATGGAAGTAAATGAGTAAAATGTTATTAACTCTGATTTCACATAGTTAACTAAACTTTTCTTTCACAATGTTTAAAATCAAGAGTAAGCCAATTCTCATTTCCTATGCCTTTATTCTCTGTTTTATGACTTTTACTGTTATTCAAATAGAGATTTCTTTCAAACACAATCCTGCTTCCTTTTAAAGTCAAAATGCAGATTTCATTTTATTGTTTGGAATCCTAGTAAAAGTTTTTCTTTTCAATATATTTTTGTTTGGGCTTCAAAATATTTGAATTCTCATTTTTAGTAACTTCAATATTTTAGTTTTTAATTTGCCCTTGGTATAAACTGAGACTATATAATATTTAAAGTAGAAAGTATTGACAGGGAGAAGGAAAATTGCCTCATTTTAGAACTATTTTGTTAATTTATTTCCAGAAGCAAATAATAAAAGACATTTATATACCTTGGCACATAATTTATTTTATTCACATGTTTTAAACAAAAAAACAAGCTTTAGTTTCCCTCTTTTTATTCTCTAGCTTTAGTCTCCTTCAGACTTCTAAGCAATATTCATCCCTGGTAGAAGTGGGGCTTTCTTTTCTCAGGCTCTTACATACACATTTTTTTCCCTTTTGGACCTGATTGATTTCAGGCTTTAATCTCACTCTACTTTTATTTATTATCTGCACTTACATACTTTTCAATAAAAATTTTGCTTTGTAAATAAAAAGTTAAATTTTAATTATTAACACGTAAATATGTAAATGGACAGGTTTAATTATCTCATACTTTACAGGAGATCATATCAAAAATTTGCTGTTACCTTTAAAAATGTATTAGTGTTTCTGTATGCACAATTTAAAGAGAATTGATAGTAATTTTACAGATTGGGGCTAAATATATAAGTATATTTGCTTACTTTAACTTCTATTTGGTTGCTTAATGATTCACTAGGGAAAAAAGTTGAATATTGCTGTTAGAAAGGTAAATCTTAAGATAGCAATTTGCTACCTTGTCTTTATTTTTTTTTTAAAGGAGTCTTTTTTTTTTTTTTTTTTAAGATTTATGTATACAAGCAATGGGTACAGTCAGCAGCGCTGGAGGGTGAGAGAATTCACCAGAGCCAGAGCAGAGAACAGAACAGGCAGAAGGACTGAAGTACATTGCTGAGGGGAGCAGTGGGCAGCAGGAGAGACCTTCGCGGTGGCCGGGGATCGAACCGGCACTGCAGAGGCTGTGGGCAGCTTCGCAGCCCAGCTCGCAACCACTGGGCCACCAGGGGAGGCCCAATTTGCTACCTTGTCTTTAAAGAACATTCTTCTCTGAAGAATAGGAGAACTGGATGTAGCAAGTTATCCTTTTAGTTATAATAGAATATATAGCAAAGCTGTGGCATATTAATCATTGCCTGATCATACCCTTTGCCCCCAAGTAAGAATCCATGAAAGAGAGACATTTCTAACTTTTTTTTTTTTTTTTTTTTTTTTTACGAATCTAATTGGAGATACAATTCATTGGCTTCCCTTTTGAAAGCATTCCAGTCAGGAAGTTTTTTTCTAAGGTATTTTCATTCCCTATAAGGTACATAAAACTAAGATTATTATTCTCATTTTATAGATGACAAACTAAAAAAATTCAGGAAATTTAAATGAATTTGCCTAGAATTTTTCATAGCTAATACGTAACTAGAATCCATGACTAGATTTGTTGTCTAATGTGCTTAGTTACCTCATTAGTGTTTCCTATTTTTAGTTATAAGGCATGGTTCTCAGAATTCATTTTCATTTTTACCCCCAATATTTCAGCATTTAATTAGAATTCTTCTTACTCTGTGATTGTCTTTAATTTATATTGCCAGCAGTCTAAATGGAGAATGAAATTAGATTACTTTCCCTGTGTAAACATAGTTTTGAATCTTATAGTTTTAACAGTGGTTGTTGATTAACATGTTGGGAAGAAAAGCAAATTTTATGGATTAAGCAAATTAGTGTTATTGGATGGCATGAACAATTCTAATGAAGCTAATGTAATTGCTTAATGTTTTAATCATGATGGTGCTGATTTCTGTGGTCATGTATCTTTATAACATCTGCTAATAAGTATATATTTTATAGTATTGATTCTAAGAGTGTCTGTTAAAATATAAAATGTAGTAAATTGATTCTTCTAGTACAATTTTTACTTGGAAGTGCTATAAATCTCTGGTTTTAATACCAAACATGTTATGTTTTATAAGTTGATTTTTCCTAACAATTTCATAATTTTTATTTACGCGGCCAGATTCTGGATTTTCTCCCCATAGATTTTAGTCTTGACAGCTTTATAAATGAAAGGAAATCACTTTTGTGATCAGAAATGTGATTCCACTGAAAGCAAGTTGAGTATACCTTTGAATTGTATGACTTTCAAGCAAATTTTTTGGTGTAAATCTAATTACGCCTGTCATGCTTTTAACCTTTGAACTGACTGTCATTGTTTACAGAGAGGCGCAATCAGCCACTTTCAGGAATGGAGGTAGTAGCTAAAAGTATTTAATTAATATATCTAAGGACCTTTTCCACTTTCAAATTTACCACAGTCATGAGTCTATTTTATGCTAAACATCAAGACTTTTTTTTTAATGTGATCACTCCTCACTGTCTATTGTTAGTATAACTTGTCCCTACAGAAACAGCAAATTTTAAAATTGTTATATTGTGAGTAGAACATGTGCACATATAGAAGAGCAAAACTGTAATCCCCAAAATTAAAATTGTCATCAATTTTGTTAACAATTTTTTTTTATTTGGCCAGGGAGAAAAGGTTTGAGAGTTGCCTTTTTAAAAGGAATCCATGAATATAGTCAACATCTAATTTTAATTCTGTTTACTGTGGTAGTATTTCTATTGTTATGTTTCTAGTCTTGCTCAACTTTTAGTCAGAGTGACTAGAGACTATAAATAATACTGCCTTAATAATTATAATATTTGTTACAAAAATTGCTTGAAGGATATCTTTTACCACCAATTTTATTGTTGGTAATTTGGGGAGATGGTTTTCAAACATCAGAATAACTTCTGTAAACATGAAATTATATTGTTTTGCTTTCTACTGTCTTCCAAGACATACTTTTACATACTTCCAAGAAGTATTTATAATAAGACAAGCATTTTCTTTAGGTGGTATAGAGGTAAATAGTTTAAAGCTGCCCAAAAAATGTTAAAGATTGTGCCCTTGTTGTAGGTGGCCCCAGAAGAATTTAAGACCAGCATTGGCCGTGTGAATGCATGTTTGAAAAAAGCTGTCCCAGTCAATGTGAAATGGCTGCTGTGTGGTTGTCTTTGCTGCTGTTGCACGCTGGGTTGCAGCCTGTGGCCTGTTATTTGTCTCAACAAAAGAGTGAGTAACCATTTTATTGTGTAGTTATAAGAGTCTTGAACACTTACTATGCGTCTTGTACTATAACATGGCTTGTTTAATTCTTATGACAGTGCTGTCCTCATTCTAGTGATAAGGAAAAATCTAGAATGGAGATTAAGTCATTTATCCATCCTTTAACATTTTATCACTTAATATGGTCCCCATGATTTTAAATAAGTACACTAAAACTGAGTATTTAAGTAAATATAAAGGTGTAACTGGCCACTTTTTCTTTTTACAAAACCCAAAACTGCATAAAGCTTGTGTTAGAGTTTTCCCAAGCTACAGGTGTATGGGAAGCTTCCTCTGTTCTGAAGAAAGGCAGTGGGAGTAACCTACAGAGTTGGGGTTTAGAGGGAAAACTGCTTTGTCTTAAAAAGGTTGAAATGACATTCTAACGTGCTATTACTAGTTATGTCATGGATTTAAGACTATCTTAATCTCATCGTATTTAAATTTTTATTTTAGTCTTAGTAATGTTTTTCCCCATATAAAGATGTCTAACTTTTTAATTGAAGTTCATGAGAAAAAATTAATTTTTTTCATGTAAATTTCTTTTCTCTGTACTACATTGATGATTTCATGTAAGCATTTAAATAATAATTAGCCTACTGAACCATATTCAAACTCACAGCAACTTCTGGAGGAGTGATGCATTTGTTTCAAACCAGTCATTTTCCCAGTGTGTACTCTCAATTTATTCCTCTCTGATTCTTTCTCCTTCCCTTCTTACTGTCCATTTCAAAACACAAATAATAAAATATTGCCACCCTACAGCTTTTTGAATGGAAAAGTTAGATATTTTATTAATTCTCTTGGTAACTACCAGTAGGTCATACTTTCACTTTAAATAGAGCTTAGTTCCTTATATATTAAATTATTTATAATATTCTCAAATTGCTTCTGTATGTTAAAAAATTAACAGCATAAAATTTCCCTTTGTCAGACCTTACTTTAAAACTTACAAATCAATAACGCCTATCCATTTCCATTATTTTTGTTTGTAATCAGATTTTATTGATTAACCATTCTTTTGCATAATGATGTAATTTCAGGGGTACATCTTCACACCTGGACATATGCACATGCTCATACACCCACCACCAGTTCCAGTACCACTGCACCACCACACTGTCCCCACTTGCCTCTTCCTTTCACCTCTCATAAACATCATATTTTCACAAAACCCAAAGTTTAAAAGTTATTTTTGTTGTATTTTGCCAGTTTGTTTTCTTTGGTTATTTATATTCCACAAATGAGTGAAGCCATCTAGCCTGTAATTGTCTTTCACTTAATGATGTATTTCACTTAAGCATAATCAATTCAAGCTCATCTGTGTTGTCACAAAAGGCAAGAGTTCATCTTTTTTAATAGCTTAATGGTATTCCATTGAGTATATATACAATTTCTTTATCTAGTCATCAGTTGATTTAGATTGATTACATGTCTTTGTTATTTTGAATAATGCTGTTAGGAACATAGGGGTGCATAAATCTTTTCATATTAACATTGTCATGTTATTTGTGTAAATATCTAAAGGTGTTTTAAGGCCTCTTCATACCATTTTCCTTAAATGCACCAAATTACGTTCCCAGCAACAGTGCTGAATAGTGGAGTAAGTGTTCCATTTTTGTACACACCTTTAACAACACTTGTTTCAGGTTTTTTGATAATAGGGCATTCTCACAGATGTGAAGTGATATCTCATTGTGGTTTTGCTTTACATTTCCCTTACAATGAGTGATGTTGAGCAGTTTTTCATGTGCCTGTTGGCCATCTGTATGTCATCTTTGGTTATGTGCCTATTAAGGCCTTTTGTCCATTTTCTGATTGGGTTGTTTGTTTCTTTGTTGTTGAGTGTTATGAGTTCTTCATATATATATTTTGAAATTTAAACTCCTGTCAGACATGTGACATATAAAGATCTTCTCTCCCAGCCTTTTTGCTTTTGTGGTGGTTTCTCTCGCAGAATAAAAACTTTTTAGTTTTGATGTAGTCCCATTTTCAACTTTTATGTTTGGTTTCCTTGCTGTTAGAGTCGGATCCCCAAATACATCTCTGAGATTGATGTTCAGGAATATATTGCCTGTGTTTTTCTACATATATTTCATGTTTTGGGGTCTTATGTCTAGGTGTTTAATCCATTTTGAATTCGTTTTTGTGCATGGTCTAGTTTCATTGTTTTACATGTAACTGTCCAAGTTTCCAAACTATTTGTTGAAGAGGCTTTCCTTTCTCCATTGTATATCTGTGTCTCTTTTGTCAGAAATTAATTGTCCATAAATATGTGGGTTTATTTCTGGGCTGAGAATTCTTTTTTTTTTTTTTTTTTAAGATTTATTTATTTATTTGTTTGTTTATTTATTTATTTATACAAGCACTGGGTATAGTCAGAAACGCGGGAGGGTGAGAGAATTCACCAGAGCCAGAGCAGGGAGCAGAACAGGCAGAAGGACCGAAGTACACTGCTGAGGGGAGCAGCAGGCAGCAGGAGAGGTCTGCGCGCCATGTGGGACCCTCCTCCTGTGGCTGGGGAGCAGCCGGGGATCGAACCGGCGCTGCATAGGCTGCAGGCAGCTTCGCAACCCAGTGCTCAACCGCTGCGCCACCGGGGAGGCCCTGGGCTGAGAATTCTATTCCATTGATCTGTGTTTCTCTTTTTGTTCTAATACCACACTGTTTTGATTACTGTTCCTGTATAGTATAGATTGAAGTAAGGAGAGTGATGTACCCATTTTTCTTCGTTTGTCTTACAGTTGCTTTGGCTATTGGGGGTCTTTTGTGGTCCCATACCAACTTTAGAATTGTTTCTTCTATTTCCTGAGAAAAAGTCATTGAGATTTTAATAGGTATTGCATTGTCTCTGTTAATTACATTAGGTAACATGGCCATTTTATTTTATTTATTTATTTTTTTTAAATGTGAGTTAGTTTATTTTTTTTTTTTAATAGAGGCATGCTTTATTTATTTATTTGTTTGTTTGTTTTATTTATACAAGCACTGGGTACAGTCAGAAGCGCGGGAGGGTGAGAGAATTCACCAGAGTCAGAGTGGGGAGCAGAACAGGCAGAAGGACCGAAGTACGCTGCTGAGGGGAGCAGCGGGCGGCAGGAGAGGTCTGCGCGCCATGTGGGACCCTCCTCCGGTGGCCGGGGAGCAGCCGGGGATCGAACCGGCGCTGCAGAGGCTGCGGGCAGCTTCGCAACCCAGCGCTCAACCGCTGCGCCACCGGGGAGGCCCAACATGGCCATTTTAAAGATGTTTATTCTTCAGTCCATGAACATGTTATCTTCCCATTTCTTTGTGTCTTCCTTTATTTCTTCTAACAGTATCTTGCAGTTTTCAGTGTATAGGTCCTCCACTTCCTTTGTTATGTTTACTCCTGGGTGTTTCATCCTCTTTGGTGCAATTCTAAATGGGATTGTTTTCTTATTTTCTTTTTCCTCTAATTCACTGAGCACAGAAATGCAACAGATTGTATGTACTGATTTTTTCCCTCCCTCTTTACTGTATTCACTAACTACTTCTAGTAGTTTTTTTGCAAAGTCTTTAGGATTTTCTATGTATTTCATCACGTCATCTCAAAGTGATAATTTTACTTTTTTTTTCCAATTTTGATTCCTTTTATGTCTTCTTTCTTTTGCCTCATTTTCAATACTATGTTTTTGTTTTGTTTTTTGTTTTGTTTTGTTTTGTTTTTGTTTTTAAAGATTTATTTATTTATTTATTTATTCATACAAAAACACTGGGTACAGTCAGAAGCGCGGGAGGGTGAGAGAATTCACCAGAGCCAGAGCGGGGAGCAGAACAGGCAGAAGGACCGAGGTACACTGCTGAGGGGAGCAGCGGGCGGCAGGAGAGTTCTGCGCGCCGTGTGGACCCTCCTCCAGTGGCCGGGCAGCAGCCGGGGATCGAACCGGCGCCGCAGAGGCTGCAGGCAGCTTCGCAACCCAGCGCTCAAACACTGCGCCACCGCGGAGGCCCTTCAATACTATGTTGAACAGTAGTGGTGGTGAGAGTGGACATCCTTCTCTTGTTCTTAATCTTAGGGATGAAGCTTTCAGTTTTTTACCATTGAGTATGATTTTAACTGTGATTTTGTTATTAATGGCCTTTATTATGTGAGATATGTTCCTTTAATTCCCATTTTATTAAGGGTTTTTCTCATAAATGGGTGTTGAATCTTGTCAAACATTCTTTTTCAGCATCTGTTGAGATCATCATATAATTTATCCTTTTGTTGATGTCATAAAGGATGTAGACTTGGGGGCCTCCCCTGGTGGCACAGCAGTTGAGCGCTGGGCTGCGAGACTGCCCGCAGCCTCTGCAGCGCAGGTTTGATCCCTGGCTGCTGGCAAGGGTCCCACATGGCGCGCAGACCTCTCCTGCCATGCCCGCTGCTCCCCCAAGCAGTGTTATTTCGTCGGTCTGCCTGTTCTGTTCCCTGCTCTGGCTCTGGTGAGTCCTCTCACCCTCCCGCGCGCTTCTTACTGTACCCAGTGCTTGTATAAATAAATACATAGAGGGCCTCCCCGGTGGCGCAGCGGTTGAGCGCTGGGTTGCGAAACTGCGCGTGGCCTCTGTGGCGCCGGTTCGATCCCCGGCTGCTCCCCGGCCACCGGAGGAGGGTCCCACATGGCGTGCAGACCTCTCCTGCCGCCCGCTGCTCCCCTCAGCAGTGTACTTCGGTCCTTCTGCCTGCTCTGCTCCCCGCTCTGGCTCTGGTGAATTCTCTCACCCTCCCGCGCTTCTGACTGTACCCAGTGCATGTATAAACAAAACAAACAAACAAACCAGCAAACAAATAAATAAAGCATGCCTCTATTAAAAAAAAAAAATAAATAAAAAATAAATAAATAAATACATAGATAGATAGATAGATAGATAGATAGATAGATAGATAGATAGATCTTTTTTTAAAAAAAAAAAAAAGGACGCTGACTTGCATATGTTGAACCAAGCTTGCAACCCTTAAAATT